CCAAAAATAAGAGTTCATAGAGAAATAATCCATAGTCCTTAGGAAAAAGCCCATAGGTCCAAGGGTAATCCAGTATAGTACAAAGATCAGTCCAAGTAAAGGCTGGTCCCGATAAACTTCAGGGTGTGTCACGTATGACTGAAGAGTAGGTCTTGAATGACAATGTCCATAGGCAAAAAGTTCCTTTTTCAAGAGTAACTGGCAAGGGCTTATCGCACCTTCCCACGATGTCATCCAATCAGAGTTTGTTACTAGGCAAACAGTCCTGTTGCACCACATGACTTCTTTCCCATACACACACCAGATGTTATTTGGGTTACTGTGGTTTAGCAAAAAGTCACAACAATTCCCATCTAATCACACCGAGTCCTTTTCTCAGGCTATCAGAATAACATTCTCTCCGTTCGCTAAGAAAACAACCTGTCAGCATAGCAAAGATACTTTATACAAAGAAACAAGATGGAACCTCTCTTGCTCATTTCTTAGTTACAAACCCCATATTCCTTACAAGACTTTAACTCAAAAACCCATCTCATCACACTGCTAACTACATTCTTCACAATAGTAGTCCAAATTCATCATAAGTCTTAATCTCTCATTTTCATAAAAGAAAAAGGTAAAAATAATTATTTCACATTACACATTTTCGATTTTCTACTTTCCTAAACTCCTCCCTTCTTCATAGTCCAGCTAAATGTCAACCAATTAGATTTTAGGGGCTGTAACACCTTTCCATAAGTCTTAATCTCTCATTTTCATAAAAGAAAAAGGTAAAAATAATTATTTCACATTACACATTTTCGATTTTCTACTTTCCTAAACTCCTCCCTTCTTCATAGTCCAGCTAAATGTCAACCAATTAGATTTTAGGGGCTGTAACACCTTTCTCCACCCCATTTTCCCATGAGATAGCCCAAGTGTTATTTTCTTCTCCAATTATCCCAGAATGTTGAGTCTTCCATGGCCGCCTCCTTATCTCGTCCAAGTCTATAACTCAGTGCAGGAAAACAGTCTCACAGCTTCTTCAGACAAACACATTCCAAAGTCCTTCAAATCATCTTTACAAAGAACCATTGTGACTCCATGTTACTGCGCCTCGTGGCGCAGTGGTTAAAACGCTGTACTGCAGGTAAAACTGTGCTCACGACCTGGGGTTCAAATCCCAGGTAGCCGGCTCAAGGTTGACTCAGCCTTCCATCCTTCCGAGGTCGGTAAAATGAGTACCCAGCTTGCTGGGGGGGGGGCAATGTGTAGCCTGTATAATTAAAAATTGTAAAACCGCCCGGAGAGTGCTTGTAGCGCTATGGGGCGGTATATAAGTCCAATAAATAAATAAATAAAATAAAAAATTTTCTTGACTACATATCCCATTCACATTTCATGCTTTAAACTACATAACCCCTGATCATTTCACCCAGTGCTGCTTGTTTGCACTAGGTCAGAAATTTTAAAGAGAGCACAGCCTGTGTTGAGCTTTGATAGGACGTAGGGACCACTGCAGCTACTTGGGGATGTTACAAGTTGATCCTGACCCTGATTTTTCTGCCTCTTCTAGTTTTATGTGGAGCATATCACAGTCTATCTACATTCAGTTACAATGTACTAGACAACTTCAAAATGGTTCGTTGTGCTTTTGAAATGAATGACATTCGTATCTATGGTAACACTTATTTTTCCTTTATATTTTAGACTTAGTTAAGAAAATAGAACATCTAGCAAAAGCAAAGTTAGAAGTAGAATGTCAAACAGAAAAGGATCGTTCCACCTTGAACGCGCACGTGAAGATGTTGGAGATGGAACTTGAAGAAGAACTGAAAAAAAATCAAAATCTGGCTGTCATGTCTTTGGAAGTTACTGATCTTAAACAACAAATGCAAGCCCTTGAAAGAAAGCTTAAAAATCAACGAGATTTCATGGATGTAAGGGTTAAAAATGTCTCCAGCATTAGTGACGAAACACTGCTAGAATTAAATTTTCAAGAGATTTTAAAATTGTGCTTGAACATTCTAAAATATGGAAACAATAATTTTTTTTTCTCAATAGAAGCAAGCTGCAGAACGGGAACGGGAACGTGATGAATTTCAGGAAGAAATCCAGAAACTAGAAATGGAATTAAAACTGACAGCAAAACGTCAAGCTTCTGAACACTCCAAAGCAGATCTGGTAAATCAAGTATTCCAAATGTTATGCTAGGATAGATCACCTGAATGCTTTGAAAACTGCTTTGAAAAATGCGGTTTATGTTGCTTTGTAAGATCTGGCTTTTGTTCATATACTCGGGGACCTTGATACTCCATACAGAAAAGCTGAGAAGAAAACCACATCAGGACAAGCCACAGAAAATATAATAGTTGTTTTAGCCCCTTGCATGACATCCATAACATTACAGTTAGTATGGCTAGCACAAGGGGAAAAGATACTCACAACTGTACCTAGAAAATAGTAATCTGACCTTTTCACTTGGTCAGATTACTATTTTCTTAGTAATAAATGCCAGTTGTATCCAGTGACTTCTGTGTGTAAGACTGGAGATGGTGCCAGGTTAGATAAGATCTTGGGCAAAGTTTCTTCCAATTTTGTACACCTAAGAAAAAATCTAGCAGGAGTATATGATCATGAGACAGGTGGTCGTGTGAAGGTATTCAATTTTAGCTAGTGACTTTGTCAGGATCTTCCTTATCATTCTCCTTTGCAGGACCTAGAAGCTTGAAGAATAAGAAATATAGCAGTGGTAAATCTTTTCTGGCTTAGCATTTCTGTTTGTGTTGGTAGGCTCTGTTGTCACAGGTGTTATCTTTCTTATCCACAATAATAAGACACTTGCTGGACGATCAGTAAAAAAAATAACAAGAGCAATAAAACATTTTAAAAGGAGGGGCAGTGTGAGGCCAGTGGATCTCCAGAATGTATGATCTCCAATATTTATATCACTATAGCAAATGCTGAAGTTGTGCATGAGAAAGACAGAGAAACCAACAGTGTAGTAGTTGTGTTGTTCGTAAGATGAATGTGGAAGGAAAAATTCCAGTATTTTATCCTCTTTACCAGTTATTTTTAGATATTTGAAAATCCTTTCACAATACCCTAAATCTTCTTTCTTGTATGAAAAACAGGACTTGAGCACTGTTGGTGTATGTCCTGCCCTTGCAGTGGCACTGTACCATAAAATATAATTATGGCAAATGAGAGTAGCTGGATGTATCTTTTTACTATGCTTTTTGTTTTTAAGTGTTTATTAAAACTTTGATTCAGATTGGAATAGTATCTGGTAGGAGCTTTGAAACAAATTGGAATTGTTAAAATAAATATGTTTAGCGATCTGTTTGGTGTTAAATTCAATTCTCCATACCTCAAACATGAAACTTTTGTTTTTGGCCATTCTTACAGGTAGAGTCTCTCCAGAATGAAATAAAAGAGAGAGCAGAAGATTACAACAGGCTTTTCTTAGACCGAGAGCGTATTCAGAAAGAGCTTGTTGTTCAAAATGAAGAAATAGAAAAGTTGGAAAGACAGATCCGAGAATTAGAATGCAGGAATGAGGAACAGAAAAATAATATCAATAAACTCAGTCAAGAAATGAAAGAAATGGAAGCTGAATTAAAACAAGTAACTTCAACTTACTATTTTAATACCTTTATATGTTTACTAGAAATAGGGGTTTGGATGTGATGGAGGCCTGGTAACTGCCACTTCTCTTTCCACTTTTTTGGAGGGATTCTGCCTAGTCTGTGTTCAAGAAAGTGGGGATTTGCTTTGTCAAACAGAAGGCAGATTCTCTTAGAATAAAGATTTCGTTGGGGCATAGTTTAGCCAACACAGCACTTCTCTCCTCTGCAGCCAGTTCTGTCTTCATTGTTCACTGATTACACATATCTGGCCTGCTTGACAAGTTTTTCTAAAGTAAACAAGAATATCCTCCAACTCATTTCAGAAGATAGGTTTGAATATTCAATAGGTTTAGTGACCTTTCTGCTTGAATCTCCCATCGTTATACAGTGGAACGTCTATTTACTAACGTCCCTAACTACGAACAATCCAACTTACGAACAGCTCTGTTCACAAAATATTGCTTCTACTTGCAAACGGAACTGCAAGATACGAACGGGGGGGGAAGCGAGGAAAGTGCGAAATTTGAACTTTCAGTTGACCGTTGGCCAGTGAAGAGGCTGTTTGTCTGCAACATCGCTCATCCAAGCAGTTAGAGAGTGGATAGGGAGAGAGTCTACATACTGCCTGGTACTGTACTGTACAGACTGTGGGTTTTTTATTTTTATTTTTTATTTTTTTGATTTTTGACTTCTTTTTAAACAGAGAGACTGCCTGTTCTGGGTGAGTACATACACTCTACAGTATTTACTGTACTGTACAGGATTTTTTTCAGCTTGGGGGGGTTAGGGCTAGGTGGGGGGTTATGTTTCTGTGCCCTGATGGATCTTGCAGTGTGGGTGTAAAATGTGAAAAGTACACTGTAATGGTTGTTGTGGGTTTTTCAGGCTCTTTGGTTATGTTCTGAAGGTTGTTCTTCCTAAAGTTTCGCCAGTCTTTGTGGCCGGCATCTTCAGAGGACAGGAGTAGCACTTTGTGCTCTGCTGCAGTTTGTTTGGGAGTTGAGTATTTATAGCTGTGGGATCAGCTTTTTTTTCCTTTTCAGGGGATGGGTGATTATGGTGATCAGTGTGTTTTTGTTGTGTGTGTATTGTTGTGATAAGGAGGAGAGATTATCTGTCACTGTGATCGATGGGTGTCGTTAGCTGGTCTTTTGTGTGTAGTGATCACTACATTTCTACTTATGAACGTTGTGGCTTGTTAAAGTTGATTGACCATTTGCAGGCTGTATTTTTCAGTGCTGGGAGTCAAGCTTTGTTGAATTTTAAACTTTCTTCTATTTTGTTGAAGCTCTGCTAGTGTTTGTGGATTTCAATGGCTTCCCTGTGCAGTCTAATGTACAGTGGGGTCTTGACTTAAGAACGGCTCGAGTTAAGAACATTTTGACTTAAGAACCGCTCTCATAGGAAAATATTGACTTGACTTAAGTACTTAGATTTGAGTTAAGAACTGAAAAAAAACCCACGTGGGAGGCAGGGAAAGTGCAAAATTTCAACTTTCAGTTAACTGTTGGCCAGTGAAAAGGGTGCCTGTCTGCTTCCTCACTCCTCCCAGCATTTAGAGAGTGGATTGGGAGACAGTCTTCGGACTGCCTGGTACTGTACTGCCTGGACTGTATTTTCTCTGCCTTCCCTGAACCTTTCTTGACCTAAGAAAAAAAAGAAACAAAATATCCCCCTCTAGTGGTCGAAGGCGGAATAGCAGCTTCCCATTAGTTTCTATGGACGGAAAAGAGCAGATACGGATCAAATGGTTTTCAATGCATTCCTATGGGAAATGCAGATTTGACTTGAGAACTTTTTGACTTGAGAACCGCCTTCCAATACGGATTAAGTTCGCAAGTCAAGACCCCACTGTAATGATTGCTGGTGTTGTCCAGTATTTAAGTATTTTGAAATAGAATTTCATGTCCAGCTTGTTTTAGGGCATGTTCAGCTACTGCCGAGTTTTCCGGTTGTTTTAGTCTGCAGTATGTCTCATGTTCTTTGATTCTGGTGTGGATGCTTCGTTTTGTGGTTAGATCCCGGCTGTGAATAATACTGCATTAAATTAAAATTAAATGTGAAAATTAGACTGTAATTTTAAAATGCTAAACTTTTTTATTTATTTTTGCATTCTGTGGCTTCTAGGCTTCTACTGTGACCTCTCTGTTTTAAAATGTGACTCCAAAGTCTTTTTTTTCTTTGGGGATCTGTTTGCTGTAATAATGGTTGCAGGTTGTTGATGTAGGCAGGCTGTAAAAATGCAGTTTAGACTCCACAGTCTTTTTTCCTTAAAATCAGAAAATATTCTGTGACGGGTTGTGCTGGCTGATTATGCAGGCAGGCTGTAAAATGCACCTTAAACTTTTTGTGATGAAGAGTTCTGTGTTGGAATAATGCTTGCTGGATTGTGTGGCTTCTAGTGTTTGTGTACTGTGACCTGTCTTCTGTTTTAAAATGTTTTTAAAATGTGGCTCCAAGGTCTGTCTCTTTTAAAATCAGAAAACTGTGGTGCTTGTTGATGCAGGCAAGCAGGCTTTAAAATGGAGTTTAAAATAGAGTTTTAAAATGGAGTCTAGTGTAGACTCAAGGCTCTCCCCCCCTTGTCTTCTCTCTCTCTTCTCTCTCTTTGTGCTTAACAGCACAAACCTTTGTCTGAGGGGTCTGTGTGCCCCAGTGATGACTTTTCTATCTTTCTTTCTTTCCTCTTTTCCTCATTGTCCCTTCCCTCCCCCCTCCTTTCCTGCCCTTTTTTGACCTAAGTTCATTTTAGGTCAAAAGAAGAAAAATTCTCCCCCTAGTGGTAGAGGACGGATGAGCTGATTTTGCAAAGGGCGCCTCTAGATAAGAACGAAAAACAGCTGGAACGGATTAAATGGTTTTCAATGCATTCCTATGTGAAATTTTGCTTCTACTCATGCACATTTCAACTAAGAAACATTTTCTGGGACGGATTAAGTTCGTAAGTAGAGGTTGCACTGTATCTGACTTTGCTTCAGAATGCAGAAACTTCTCTGAGCTTCAGTTCCATTAAGGTTTATTTGTTTATTCATTTATTTAATTTATATATTCCCTATCATGTGGCAGGTTTTCCAGAGAAAGGCAGTATCTGTCCCTTCATTTTCCTTTTTTTTCTAATTATTCACATTTAAAAATCAACATACAGAATCAAACAATTACTTTACAGTAGTACAGACATTCATGTAGACACTTTTGAGTTTGCAATATATTCTACCAAAATTTTAGGCAGTGTTGCAGAGTAGGTAACTGGTTTGCCTATCCCTTTTGACAGCCAAAGAATATGTATTAATTTTCCTGGTAGTTAAGTCTACCATAATCTTTTAAACCAATAATCTGTTGTCAGTCCCTCCAGTGCCCTCCAGCACATTATTATTTACCAATACTCCTGTCACTAGGAAGGATACAAACTGCTTGTGCAGCAAGTATTCATTAGGACCATATAAATAGACAATGGCCTAAATCCACCACGCGATCACAAATGTTCCATCCACACTAGTTGTGTAACAGTTGAGACAGAAGTACATTCTCTGAGGCAGATCCACCAGTGCATTGTGCAACCAATCATGCTGGGAACCTGTGACTGATTTTGTGCAATTGCATGGCATAGTCCCTTATTTCCAGACACATTTATGCTGACACTGATTTTATGGAACCAGCTCCCAGTGAAGCTGTACCTAACCCCTCCCTGCTAACATTCAGAAGGCAACTTAAGACACTGTTTTTCAGGGAGACCTTCCACAGTGATTTTACACCTCCAGCCTGGCAGTCTCATGTGAATCTTGCATTGGTGCCTTGTGTTTTACCTGTTAATTTTTTAAATTTCCTAATTGTATATTTATAGTTTTAATGGTATTTTGTTTTATTTACAATTGCTGTAAACCACCCAGAATAGTGCATTGCACTAATTGGGTGGTTTTCATTTAGTCGTGTCCAACTCTTCGTGACCCCATGGACCAGAGCACGCCAGGCCCTCCTGTCTTCCACTGCCTCCCAGAGTTGTGTCAAATTCATGTTGGTTGCTTCGCAGACACTGTCCAGCCATCTCATCCTCTGTCGTCCCCTTCTCCTCTTGCCGTCACACTTTCCCAACATCAGGGTCTTTTCCAGGGAGTCTTTTCTTCTCATGAGATGGCCAAAGTATTGGAGCCTCAGCTTCAGGATCTGTCCTTCCAGTGAGCACTCAGGGTTGATTTCCTTTAGAATGGATAGGTTTGTTCTCCTTGCAGTCCAGGGGATTCTCAAGAGTCTCCTCCAGCACCACAATTCAAAGGCATCAACTCTTCGGCGGTCTGCTTTCTTTATGGTCCAGCTCTCACTTCCATACATCACAACAGGAAAAACCATAGCTTTGACTATTCGGACTTTTGTTGGCAAGGTGATGTCTCTGCTTTTCAAGATGCTGTCAAGATTTGTCATCGCTTTCCTCCCAAGAAGCAGGCGTCTTTTAATTTCAGGGCTGCTGTCTCCATCTGCAGTGATCATGGAGCCCAGGAAGATAAAATTTGACACTGCCTCCATATCTTCCCCTTCTATTTCCCAGGAGGTGATGGGACCAGTGGCCATGATCTTAGTTTTTTTGATGTTGAGTTTCAGACCATTTTTTGCACTCTCCTCTTTCACTCTCATTACAAGGTTCTTTAATTCCTCCTCACTTTCTGCCATCAGAGTGGTATCATCTGCATATCGGAGGTTGTTGATATTTCTTCCGGCAATCTTAATTCCAGCTTGGGTTTCTTCCAGTCCAGCCTTCCGCATGATGTATTCTGCATATAAGTTAAATAAGCTGGGGGACAATATACAGCCTTGCCGTACTCCTTTCCCAATTTTGAACCAATCAGTTGTTCCATAGCCAGTTCTAACTGTTGCTTCCTGTCCCACATATAGGTTTCTCAGGAGACAGATAAAGTGGTCAGGCACTCCCATTTCTTTAAGAACTTGCCATAGTTTGCTGTGGTCCACACAGTCAAAGGCTTTCGCATAGTCAATGAAGCAGAAGTA